GAGAAATTCATACCTTGGGTCTGTTATGGCCTACGTATAAGTTGAATGGCTGCAAGAGTTGAACAATAAGCCAACTATACCAACTCATATATATCCAATTCACAGAAACTCCATTACGTCAGATGCTGAGCACTAGGGCCCAACTTCAGAGAAGCAGTATATAAGAGCCGTGCAACATGGTTCAATAGATTGTGTGATACAGAGAAAACATAGAACTGACATTTGGACAAACAAATAAGAACCATAATATGAATTGAGAAGCACTTTGGTGAAACAGACAGTATCAAATCCTTTAAAACCACTTAATATTTGGATGAGAAAAATAGAATCAACTAATTACCAGTGTAGAGGCAGCTAGCAGGCAAGAAAGCGCATTAAATCAATCTAAATTTTGCTTACTATTTTGGACTTGAAAATAATTGTTGATCTCCAAGTACGGGTGTGTTGACTGCATAAAATCTAAAGGTAAGTCACAGAGACTGTCAAGTTAGCCACAAAAGAGTTTAACTAAATTGATAGATCAAAAAAAAATGAGAGAAATTCATACAATCGTATACATGCATACCTTGGGTCTGCTATGGCCTACATATATATATGTGGGTTCAATTTGCACAAGAGTTGAACAATAATGTGATTAAAGAAATTAAGATGTTGAGGTTGATATAGTTAATAGTCACAAAATATAAAACAAGAAATTTCTCAAATCTGTTTTACTGCTTATAACAACACAAAATAAAACAAATATTACTTAAACAAGCATTAATTAAACAAAGTTCATCCATAGCACATAACAACAAATTACAACAGAGATTGCATTGGATTGAAGTGCGTGTGAGTCCCAATTTTTTTTGTTTTTCTTAGCTGTATATGTTGCTGAGTTGAAGAAATAGGTTTGAGATGGTAAGAGATGCAACCTGCGCCAACATGTATGGAGAAATTAGTTAATTCTAAGGATGCAAATATTAGTCAGCCAAAAAAAAAAAAAAGCGGTAAAAAGAAAAATGTTCAAGAAAACATAAACATATATACCTAGGCTGGGCATTAGAAAGTGGACACAGATTGACCAGATTGATAATCAATGGATGACTCAGGAAATCCATTCAGGTGCTTGCTCCCTATGAACGAATAATTTAAAAAGGAATTAGCATCCAATTAAGGGAGATGGACAACTCATCAGATGCAAATCAACAGACATATATACCTGAGCTGAGCTGCGTGTTAGAAACTAGTCAATTCATAATTGAAACTCATAGAGGCAAAAAGGAAATGCTAAAGATACTGATATTCAATCTCTACCGAAGTTTCCATAGTGTTGTTGTCCCTGTGAATAATCAAAAAAGGAATTAGCGAGACAGACATCTTAGGAGCAAATCAATCAAGATTAGATAATTGAGCAAATCAACAGAGATTAACACTTGGATTCATTCAGAAACAAGAGATAGAAACATTTATTTATAAAATACCAGGGAGAAGAGAGAATGGAATGCAAATGATGGAAAAAGGGAGACTAATGAGACTTACAAGATCTCATTATATTTGAGGAAAGGTAGGAGGACAATCTTATCGTCAGGATTCTCCCACTGCAACGATTCCCACCATTCGTTTGGATTGGAAATATAGATAGATTTGACAGCAGGAAGAGATGGTTGCGCGTTTTCCCTTCCAAGACAAAGGGGAATCCTTTTTACCTTCACACAGGTGTCTATATGGATGCTAATGAGAGATTCACAAACCATTACTCCTCTTTCGGGGCAGATTCTCTTCAATTCTGGTAGAGATTGCAACGCCAATGTCTCTAATTTTGGAAGAGTGATCAATATTGGAGTAGTTGTTTGATTTCTTTCATCTTCTTCTTCCCATCCTATTATTTCCTCCATTCCCCAACAATTATTCACCACAATCAGCTCCAAGTTTTGGAGGCCCTGACCCTGCAGCAACTCCCATGGAAAAAGCTTCTTCAATTTTGGACAATTGCATACCCTCAGCTGTTTAAGATTGGGAAAGATGTGAAGAGATATTGTCGGTGCAAGCGATGCTCTTGTTTTTTCCACTTTCACAACATTCCGCAAGTCAGGCAAAACCTCAAGAGTTAGTACTTCAAGGTTATTCATAACTGTCAAGGAAGTAGATGAAGATGATGACAAAGAGACCGCACACACTATCCCTTCGCAATATTTGAAAGCACATGTTCGCAATTGAGTAAAATCTTTCTGAAAAATAGAAATATCACCGGCCGCATTGCAGTATTCAATCCTCAAATCCTGAAGGTCATCTGGAAGGACAAACTCATCTTCTTCTCCTATCTCGCATTTGAATAAAATTACCTGTTTAGGAAGATCATTATTATTGAACTTCCAAAAGTGCCCCTCATCTTTGCCTGTGTGTCTCACATCTTCTGGTACTAATTCCTTGATATCCGGTAACCATAATGAATTCCAATTAACCCAGAATCGAACCGCTTTCAATCTCCTTAGCGCGCCTGTTTCTTCTTCCATTTTCATAAAGTAATGACAGGGTCTTCCAAAATGGTTCAACTCTTTAACAAAACTGCTGAAGTCTGTCAACCAATCAAATTCACCTTCAAACAATTCCAGCATCTTCAAACCTGCTACTTCTTCTCCACTTATTTCACTTCGAAAAATTCCATGTGTACGTAGGTATTGGAGGCGGAAGAGGTTCCTGATTTTTCCTCTTGGTAGCACCCTCAGGTTGGGACAAGATAAATCAAGATATTCCAAATTTTCTAACATTTCAATGCCTTCAGGAGCCTCACGAAGGCCTGCTCCCTTCAAATCCAACTTCTTCAGTGCTTTAAGCTTTGACAAGGAAGGCATGCGTTCTAAACGCTGACATGCATAGAGGATCAGTGCAGTGAGATATTCCAAGTTACATATGGAATTAGGTAGAACCTCAATGTCAGTTCTAGAAAGATCAAGGAACTTCAGCAGGGGTATGTTAGCAAAAAAACACTCAGAAATTTGGCTCAAGTAATAATTACCCTCCAAAATCAAGGTTGAGAGCATCAAGCATTTGGGGGACACATTTTGAGGGATATATGATATTAAATTTTCCATGAGGGAGACCTTGTCTAGATCTTCATTCCATTCATCCTCATCCGGTATCTTTGTCAATCTCATTCCAGCTTTTACCATAAACATGCCAGGACCCGTGCTCTTGATGCGCAATGCCATGTCCCTCACAACATCATGCATCTTAACACACGACTCTTTATTGGCTTCCTCTAACAAACAACAGTTTAAAAGCCTATTTAAAATAGCATTTCCTTTATCATGCATTTCTCTTCTGCTTCCTAATTTTTGAACAGTTCCCTCACAAATCCAGTTTTCAATTAGATCTTTTCTTCTAATATTCCTATCTTCCGGATACAAAGAGCAATATAAGAAACACTCTTGGATGCTTGAATTTTTTGGTAGACGGTCATAACTGAACTTCAAACGATTAAATATCTCATCTTCTGAATCTTTCT